ACAGCAAGAGCTCCTGCAACTTTTGGAGCCTGAAGCACGTGAATTTTTCATGGCTGGTGTGGCTGTTCTCTCGGATTCACAGTTTGAGAAGAGGGCCTTCAGTATAATCGAACGAGCTGATGATTTTATACAGCAGGTCCAGCGCAAGAGTGAACAAGATTGGAAGTGTTGGATTGGTAAGGCCTTTTTAAATGGCGCTGGACAGGCGCACAAGGCCTCCAAGACCAAGGCGCTGGCTGCATCCATCGAGTGTACTACACGTACGCAACCATATCAACTTGCAGATGATGAGATGTGGAAGTGGCGTGAAGTCTGGACATGTCATGATACCAAGCGTGTGGAACTACCGCAGGGCTCCAGTGGCTGGGATGAGTTGCCCTTTATTCAGGTCCAGGACATCAGGGAGGCCGCCTACTCCTTTCCCTGGAAGACCTCGGTTGGCTACACGAGAATTCATCCCAGGAGCTTCGGGTACGTCTCGGACCAGGGATTGGCTGTCTTGGGAGCTCTGTACATGGTATGTGAACGCATGATGATATGGCCATCACATCGCATAATAAATGAAATGGTTAAGATTGCGAAACCAGATGGAGGGGCTCGACTTATCACACTAATAGAAAGCATGGTAAGGCTATGGGCACGCGTGCGTAGACCTGTATCACAACAGTGGTTGCGTGCACATCCTAGTCCACACATATGGGGCAATCGTAGAGGCTTCTCGTCTACATACGCTGCATATGAGCACAATCTACAAGCCGAAGTAGCGCATCATCTAGGGGAACATGCGATCACTATCGTAGTGGACATGTGGAAATGCTTCGAGACAGTGCTGTTTCCTGCTCTCCTCAATGAGGCACAGTGCATGTCTTTTCCGCTTCGTCTACTGTGGCTGCTGTTGGAGACGTATGCGCAGCCCCGAGTGATCCGTGCATATGGATGCTGGAGCATCCCGACTCGTGCGCTGCAGGGCATATTGGCGGGATGCACACATGCCACCACGCTCTTAACGGTTCTTACATATCGGGCGGTCGTGAAGGTGCACACACACTTCAGGGACGTCATGCCTCGCGCGCTTGTTGATGACAGCACGTTCCAGTGGACAGGTAATGACATTTCGGGTGCAGCCAACTTGCAGCGCGCGGTGTATATGTTCAGCCAGGATGCTGCTAAGCTAGGCATGATCATTAAGTTCGAGAAGTCAGGTGTTGTAACGAATACGAAGAGAGCGTTGAAAGGGTTCCTAGGCAGGGCCCAGCAGCTACGCCTGTCGGCCAAGAAATGGATTCGAAACCTCGGTCATGAGATGCCAGGGATCCGTCCAGTTCGGAAACAGGCACAGGCTAGAATGAAGTCTCTTCGTGCTCGTCTTCCTCGCCTGCAGATGCTGCGCCGAGGAGCGGGTGTACAGGTCACCGCTCTATGGCGCACAGGACTGATACCTGCTGTTGGCCACGGCGCTGCTGTGGCAGGTATCACACCTTCGGAGCTTGCCAGTATGCGAAAGATTGCTGGCACGCTATGCGGACGCACCTCTGGTCATAACTCGCTCACGTTGGTATTAGCCACGCAGAAGGATGGGCTATATGATCCCATATATCACGCCACGCTGGAGCCCCTCAAGGCCTACTGCAGTTTCGTGTGGGATCAAAGGGTGTCATTGGGACGTCTACAAAGGGGCTGGATGGCCCTCCAAGGTAAGATCAAGCAGAAGATGACTTGGGATGGGGTTCGTGGGCCCATGGAGGTTCTGGTACTTACTCTGTCACGTATAGGATGGAGCATGAGCTCTAGCACCACGATTGTTGATGACCAGGGCTACGTGCTGGACCTTCTGCGCCTGCCGCCCAAGACTATTTTGGAGTTTGCCCGCCAAGGTGTGGAGCGCTGGCAGGGCAGGCAGATCTTGGCCCACCATCAAGATATATGCTATGGACATGAAGTCATATGGATGCGCGTGCTGAGGAAGTGTGTTGGTGGGGCCAAGGCTGCAGTTCGCAGTTCAAGATTTTCGGGTGCGCTTCGCACCCTATGGTCAGGAGGCTTCTGGACGAGGGACAGGCAGCACCAAGCAGGGTACAACATTCCTGCTAAATGTCCATGGTGTCCCTCGGAACGCTCCACACTCGGTCATTGTATTTATGATTGCCAAGGATTGTATGATGATTGTTATGACGAAGACTTGGTGTGGGATCCGAAGAATAATGTGTGCTATGAATATCTCAGGGCACGAGGAGTTCCAGGTCTGGGGCCTCCTGACTGGGATAGGTTCGACTGCTGCATGTGCATGCCCATGTACCCTGCGGTGCCCCCGAAGGTCTCATATGGGCTCGAGGTTCACCTCTGGGGCGACTGGGATTCGGACCGAAGTGGCTGGACCTCCCTGGTGTTCACCGATGGGTCGGGGCTTGCTCCTGGACTTCCTGAAATTACCAGATGTGGTTGGGGATTCGTTTGTTTGGGAGACAATGGGCTACCAGTCAGAGGGGCGTACGGTCCCCTCGAGGGGCCATGGCAGACGGTAGGAAGGGCTGAGAGAGCGGCCCTGTACTATGCTTTGAAGTACCTGCCCGACGTCAGACTGGTGGTGTCGGACTTGTCCAGCCTGGTCAAAGAAGGAGCCAGCTGGGACCATGCCCTCCAGGAGGCTGACGCCTCGTATGCTGATTTATGGAGACAGATTTTCGCGTTGATGGACGGCAAGGACGCTTGTCCTCCAAATTTTTATTGGTGCCCTGCTCACAAGACGGCTCAGCAGTTTACCGAGCAGGATTGCCATCCATGGGAGTACTTTCTTGGCAATGCTTGGGCCGACAGGTTCGCTAAATGGGGCGCATGTTGTCATGACCCGTCTGAGACCCTGGAGATGTCGTTGGAATCGAATATATGTGATGCTAAACTGCAGGCCAGGATGTTGTCATGGGTGGTGTGCAAGATGGCGTATCGTGACTCATTGACTGAGCGGCCCAGTAGGTTAGCCAGACCCCCTGCCCCAGTCAGGCCCGTTAGACTCACGGCCCACGAGATGGCCGTTCTCTCGCCAGGAGTCTTCCAGTGTAGGTCTTGTCTCGGGCTTGCTAGGACCCAGGCGAGCCTCAGCAGGTTTCTAGGGACCCAGTGTGAGCCCACGGCCCAACAGAGGCTCAGAGCCAGTATGCTAACTGAGCTACAGAGCGCGCCTCCGATGCAGGCGGAGGCTGTGCGGGTGGCCCTAGAATTTTCTGACTCCCTCGAGGGCGTTTCCGCGAATGCGAATCCGACTGAGCCGCCTCCCGAGGAGGTGGTGGAGCTCAACGGGCACCAGGTGCTCGTTACCCCCAAGTGCATGGTCTGCACTTCTTGTGGCTCCTATCAGGTGTCTTCTGGCAAGGTGAATAACTGTAAGCTTGGATCTGCGGCCTGTAATGGCGCGTCCCAGCACGGGCCTACCCGATCTAGGCAGAAATACATCATCTCAGCCTGTAGGGCTGGGAAGGACCCTAAGACGGGCAAGATGTTAACCTAATTTTGTATGGGTATGGCCCGTGCTCCTGTCCTTCAGTTGCACGACTGGTCGGCCGTGTCTCCTCCTCCTCCGTCCTCCTCCTCCTCCTCCTCCTCCTCCTCCCCTCCTCCTCCTCCTCTCCTCCCCCCTCCTCCTCCTCCTCCTCCCCCTCCTCCTCCTCCTCCTCCTCCTCCTCCTCCCTCCTCCTCCTCCTCCTCCCTCCTCCCTCCTCCTCCTCCTTCCTCCTCCCCCTCCTCCTCCTCCCCCTCCTCCTCCTCCCCCTCCTCCTCCTCCTCCTCCCCTCCTCCTCCTCCTCCTCCTCCTCCTCCGTATCATCATCATCAGCAGCAGCATCTTCATCATCAGCAGTGTCGTCATTATCATCAGCATCATCCTGTCTTTCGTCGTCGTTCTGTGTTCCCCCCCCGCAAATTCATCATCAATCTCGTCATCCACGCCCGCCCTCCCAGCCCCCTCCTCCCCTCACATCCCCTGGAACAGGCGGAGCTCCGTTGGCCATCGGGGTCGTCCCTTGCCGCCAAGTGGCCTTCCACAGTGGCCACACGTTGTTCCCACAGCCTGGCTTCCTCGGGGGCCGGCCCGAGGGCCGACCGCCTCCTGCTCGAAACCGAACAGGATCGGCGAGAACCGAGCTGTTCTACTTTCACAGAGCTGGCTCCCTCGGGGGTCGCCTGCCCTCGTCTCGGGCGGCTTCCCGCCCTCTGCCCGCCCTCCTTGCGCCCGAGCGACAGCAGCGGGCCACGTCCGCGGTCCTGTGTCGCGCGCGCCCCAGCTCTGGATCCCCACCGCACCCCTCCCCTCCCCTACCCTCCCCTCCCCTCCCGTCCCTGTTGCACGAGATGCTGCGGGCCACTCGTCTCTGACTCGTGCTGCACGCCGCCCCCATCGCCCGCTCCTGGCCATCCCCGCGTTACATGGGCAGTCTTCCCCCGTGGGCTCCAGGAAGCGCGTGCGGTTGTCAGAAGTTCGGGACGTTTCGGGTCGCCAACGTTTGGCGGCAGTGTCTGATCCAGTCTCACCGCTCCACACCTCCAGGGTCCAGAGGTACGTAGTGGAAGGGGGCGCAAGAGATCCTCGGCAGTCCAGGCCTCCACCGTGCACACAAGTCTAGCAGGGATACCAGACGCGATGGTGTAACATTGGTAAGGTTCGCTCACCACTCCAGGTCGCCTGGGCCCAGGAAGTGTGGCAGGGGCGTGGGGCGCAGGACTGTCCTTGTATCACCACGCTCTCCAGGCGAAATGTCTCCACCAGACGCGCGCCAAACTCCTTGGAGGCTCGATCGAGCCAGCCTGGAGCATGTGCGTCCTGCTGTTGAGGCGTGTTCGAATCAGAAGGGCGCGTTCACTGTCTCCTTCGTCGTATCGCAATCGTCGTCGTCGCCGTCGCCGTCGTCGTCGTCGTGGTGCTCCTCCAACTCCTCGCGTAGCCGTTTCGGCTCCAGCTGTCACGGCCCGCGGGACCCCGCAGCGGCGGGGCTACCAAGCGGGGCGGCTCGATGGCTGAGGACACGGAGCATATGGAGATGCCGCAGGTGTTCAATTTCGTGTTGGAGAGCTTCCAGGACCCGAAGTTCACAGCAGAAGTCGAAACACTGATCTGTACCAACATCGACCTCTTCGCCAAAGCCACGGCCGACGGCAGTCACCCCCTGGAGTGGGAAATGCAGCATAGGAAATACAAGAAGTTGCACGAGGATCAGCTCCAGCGTTCGGTGTCCTTGTGCAACGCCAGCTTCGAGGAGTTCATGGAGTATGTGGCAGTTTGCAACCAACACTACGGCGACGACCCCGGTTTTCAGTCGCTCATGACAGCCCTCACGAATAGTGAAGACTACACTGCGTTCTGCCAGGTGATGTTTAACGCTGTGAGGGAAAATTGGGTGCCGGAGGACTCGGCGCCGCCGCCACTCGAGCAGAACATCCAAGTTCATGGGGTGGACGTTATGATTCGTCAGGTTGGCGCCCACATCCGTTGGGCCCTGCGGGCGTTGAGTAAGGAAGCTGCAACTGAAGCAAGGATGGGCAAGCGGATGGGGAGGAGGAACAGATCGACGAGGAGGAAAGTGAGGATGATCAGGAAAGGGGGGATGCGGAGAATGAGGAGGAGGTGAAGGGTACATGCAGACATACACACGTATATATATATATATATGTATAACCCTGTGCTCCCGATAACCTTGAGGGATAATAGAGTTCGGTGGTCTGGGGGCGAGAATCAACGAATTTTCCGGGGAAGGTGATGTTAGTTAAGCTATGGTGATGATGATGATGATGATGGTGATGATGACGATGATGATGATGATGATGATGATGATGATGATGATGATGATGATGATGATGAACCTGGGCCCTCGTGTAGACTGACCTTGTAGATCTTGGCGCAAAACTGACTCGAGAGATCTCGAGGCTCGTGGCTACAACTTGCCTGCACAAGGGAGGTCCTTGGCGCGTCTGGCCAAGACATCTCTCTCGCGCACGGCCTCGGACCACTCGCCCATGCAGGCTCGGTATCCTTCGGAACCGTCCTTGCACGGGAGGCACTTGGTGCAGGCCTGGGCGGCAGCGCTTGCCTCCTCGATGGCAGCGTGCGTCGGCTCGACCGCCGTGGGGTCCTTGAAGGGCTTGGACTTGGCCTTGCTCTTGGCCTTGGCTTTGGCCTTGGCCAAGTCTTTGTCGCTGGCCTCCTTGAGCTGATGATCCACTCGTTGCCTCGGGCGCACATCGTGTTGATGCTCATGGGCGCTTGGCGGCCCTCGCCTCGGATCTCGCGCAGGGCGCGCTCGACCCAGCGACTTGTCAACAAGCCGCAGGACCGGGCGTCGGCCTGGAACATCTCGTTGTCCCTCGCAGGGCAGGCCTCGCCAGGGCCGATGGCACCGAGTTTGCGGAGGATCCTCGTGGCGGCCTTGGGAGGCCACATTCGAACCCGACCCACGATTTCTGAGGAGTGGGGCGGGGTTCACTTCCCCCTCAGAAATCGTGGGGTGTAGGTGCGAGTTCGCATGTGGCCCTCTAGGCCTGCTTGGCGTTCTTCTCGGACGGCTGCTTGAGGGCGTCGCGGTACTCCACCGCGACGCCCCCGCCGATCCTCGAGACCTTGGCGGGCGTTGCCACAAGTGCCGCGTGCCCAGGGTGCCTCAGGATTCGCCCCAAAACGGAGCGACAAACTGGAAGCACCTCGGGGCAGGGGCAACTGTAGCAACCGCCGACCTTGAGGTAGGTGTAGTGCGCGGGCGCCTCGGCGTGCACGCGGGTCAGGACGTGCTCGGCCTTGTCGACTCTCTCGGCCCAGAGCTCCTGCTCCTCGGCCTGCTGGGCGGCGGGTTCGTCCTCGCCCTGGCCCTCTCGAGCCCAGGCGACGGCCACCGTGGGCTCGACCACCAGGACGGTCTCGGCGACGCCCACGCGCTCCTCGTTCTCGCCCAGCAGCGCGCGAACAGTGCCCAGCTCGAGAGCGTCGCCCTTGACGATCTGCTCGCAGTTCATGATCGCGTACTCCTTGGCGTGCTCGGTGCGGCGAGCCAGTCTGGTCTGGCGCCAGTCGAGCTTGTGCGGCTTGGGGAACGTGTGGTCCTGCTCGATCGTGACCTGTGGCGCTCGGGACTCACAGGCACTCGTTAGCTTCGGCCTGCTTCCGCTTCGTGTCGCTTCCGCTTGCTTCCGCCAGCTTTCAGCCAGCTTTCGCCGCTTCCGCCGTCCTCTCCGCCGTTTCCGCTAGCTCCCGCTTGCTTCCGCCGCCACAGTCGGGAGCAGGCGGAAGCTAACGAGTGCCTGTGAGCCCCCCAGCCTCGCTGCTCTCGATCTGGAAGATCGCCGCGGTCTCCACCTCGAGGACGCGCAGGCGGCACGCGCCCTCGGTGCCCGGGATCGCCAGACGTCCTGCATTCTACCGCGCCTGCTCTAGTGGACTCCCTCCTCGGTGACGCGCGCCACTTTGCCGTGCCAGGGGGGGTCCTCGCAAGCCTTGAGGCATGTTTTGTTTTTGGCCTTCGCTTGCTTCTTGGCGAGCTTCTCCGCTTCCTTCTTCTGCTTGAACTTTTGGGAGAAGCTCGTCTTCGCTTTCGGCGGCCTGCCTGCGAGCTCCGCCTTGGCCACGCCTCGGCTCAGGTGCTCGAGCGAGGCCCCGCCGCCAGTCTTGGTCATCTCGCGCCGCCACTTGCGCGCGTGCTTGCCCACGAACTGGCCCGAGAACTTGGGCGCCCACCTGCTCTTGTGAGCTGCTGTTCGTTTGATTCGGCCCTCGAGGGCGGCGCGGGAATTGGATCTCCTTGATCCGCTCTTCTGGCGTTCTGAGCACGTCCTTCTGCTCGCCGGTGAGCTCGAGGTCCAGTTCTGTGGGCTCCAGGAGGCAGGGCTCCCGCCTTGCTCGTAGTCCCTGGGCAAGTCGTTCTGGTGGGAGCAGGTCCCGCCGAGGAAGCTCCATTCGGGCACGGGCAGCACGCCCTCGGGCCACCCCTGCACGCCCTCCAGGCGCTCGCTCGCCAGGCACTGCTCGATGCCGCGGCCGGGTTCGATGGAGTAGCTCCACGGCTGCATGCCCGTGACGACCTTGAGCTCGCCCTGCTCTGCCGGCCGGCCGGACCGCGAAGCATTTGGTTCGCTCGCGTCCTTTGGAGCGGCACCGCGTCCTTGTTCTTCACGCGGAAGCGGGCGTAGGCCTCGGAGACGCAGCAGAGGCACTCCGAGTGCTTCTACTGCGTCTCCGAGGGCCATACGAGTGCCGCACTCACAGGGCCCCCACTGAGTCGGGGACTTGTACTGCTTCTGGGGCTTGGCCTACTGGACCCAGTCCACCTCCATGGCCCAGTGCATCTCGGCCTTGGCCTCTCGGATCGTGGCCTTGAGCTGGCTGTGCTCGCGGGTGCCCGGCTCCTGCAAGAAACTCGCGGCGTCGGGTGCCATGGGCGCGTGGGCGGCTTTTCTGGAGCCACGCTCACAGCGCCACTGCTTCGGTCCACTGGCTCGAGAGGCAGTCTGCGAACACGAGGCTCTGGCCGTGCTGCTGCTCGATGAAGCACGAACTCGTCAGTCCAGTCCCTGGACTGACCCCGCACGTCGATGGCCTCGAAGACCCTCGCGCGCCCCTCCTCGGAGAACTCGAGCAGAGCGCTGCGCCAGCCCTTGGGCAATGGTCCTAGGGGCTCGCCTGCTCGGAAGCGCTCCATCTCGCCGTCGCCCCGCTCGTAGGTGACGTCGCGCCGCCAGGTGCCCTCCTCGAGGTTTATGTCGCTCACTCGGCAGTGCCTTGCGCAGGGGGCGAGGAGCACGCTGCGCTTCTTGGCGGACTTGGGCTCCTGCTCGGGCCGAACCAGCCCTCGACTGTGGAGATGTTGATGAGGGTGGCCCTGAATTCGTCCCCTGCGCTCGAGTTGGCTTGGTCCACTTGGTCCTTCTGGTCGGGGTGCTCTGCCAAGTGCTTGGCCTTCTCAGCCTCGAAGGCTGCCTTGTCATCCTCGCACATCGTCTCGCGATACTTGCGGCGGAGGTTCTGGATGCGTTTCTTGGCGCTTGCGGCGTAGATCTCGCCATCGTGGATGCACGCTTCCTCCTCGCCCCGGAGCTTGAGCCAGAGCGCGGTGGCGTCGACAACGACAGCGCTCGCGTTTGCCCTCTGCTGGGCGAAGGTATCGGTGCCCCCGACGAGGAGGCCGAGGTCCTCGGAGCTGCCCCTCGCCATCAGGCGCACGAGCCTAGTAGTGGTAGTAGTACTCACTAGTAGTAGTAAAAGTAGTAGTCGTAGTAGTAGTAGTAGTAGTAGTAGTAGTAGTAGTAGTAGTAGTAGTAGTAGTAGTAGTAGTAGTAGTAGTAGTAGTAGTAGTAGTCGTAGTAGTCGTAGTAGTAGTAGTAGTAGTAGTAGTAGTAGTAGTAGTAGTAGTAGTAGTAGTAGTAGTAGTCGTAGTAGTAGTAGTAGTAGTAGTAGTAGTAGTAGTAGTAGTAGTAGTAGTAGTAGTAGTAGTAGTGGTAGTAATGGTAGTAGTGGTAGTAGTAGTAGTAGTAGCCGTAGTAGTAGTAGTAGTAGTAGTAGTAGTAGTAGTAGTAGTAGTAGTAGTAGTAGTAGTGGTAGTGGTAGCAGTAGCATTAGCAGTAGCAGTAGTAATAGCAGTAGTAGTAGAAGAAGTAGTAGTAGTAGTAGTAGAAGAAGTAGTAGTAGTAGTTGTAGTAGTAGTAGTAGAACTAGTCGTAGTAGTAGTAGTATCCGTAGTAGTAGTAGTAGTAGTAGTAGTAGTAGCAGCCGTAGTAGCAATAGTAGTAGAAGTAGTAGAAGTAGTAGTAGTAGTGGTAGTAGTAGTAGCAGCAGTAGTAGTAGTAGTAGCCGTAGTAGTAGTAGTAGTAGTGGGAGTGGTAGTAGGAGTAGTAGTAGTAGTAGTAGTAGTAGTAGTAGTAGCTGTAGTAGTAGTCGTAATTGTATGAGTTACCCGTCGTTGTAGCAATAGTAGTAGTAATAATAATAGTCGTAGTAGGAGTAGCAGTGGCTGTTGTAGTTACTTGTAGTAGTACTAGTAGTAGTGGTGGTAGTAGTAGTAGTAGTGGTAGTTACTTCTACCAGTAACTAGTATTAGTTGTTACAACTAGTAGTTGTAGCAGTAGTAGGAGGAGGAGGAAAAGTTTCTACTGGCTCGTAGTAGTAGTTACCAGTAGTAGTAGTAGTAGTAGTAGTAGTCGTAGTAGTAGTAGTTGTAGTAATAATAGTAGTGGTAGTAGTAGTAGTAGTAGTAGTAGTCGTAGTCGTAGTAGTAGTAGTAGTAGTAGTAGTAGTAGTAGTAGTAGCGGTAGTAGCAGTAGTAGTAGAAGTAGAAGTAGTAGTACTAGAGGTGGTAGTAGGAGCTACTACTAAGAGAGGTAGCTACTAGTGCGAGTAGTTGCTCGTATTAGTAGTTAATGCATGGTTCGTGGTAGTTTTACTTGTAGCAGTAGGAGTTACTACTATTAGTAGTTAGTAGTATAAGTAGTAGTA